ATCAGTGAAGACAGTTGCTGGTGAGGGGAGTTTATGGGCAACAGCAAGCTGTAAATCACAGGAAAATAAGCAGGAAGCAGATGCTCAAAACTTCTGGTCCATTAGGCTCTCAGTCCAGTGCACCTCTCTTACAGGCTCTTTTGGGAGTGTTAACAGAGAGCAAAATTTCACAGTTTACAGGTGACTCATTCTGCTGTGCCGTGAAAAGCAGCAGCCATTTTCCTAGGCTGGGAATTCCCTGCCATAAGCCACTCTGAAAAGGGAATAGCCACTGGGCAGGGAAAGGAAGCTTTTTTTTTTTTTCCTTTTTTTGGGTGAGCTGGAGCCACACAGGACGTGTGGAATCTCCCTGCCATAAGCCCCTCGGAAAAGGGAATAGCCACTGGGCAGGGAAAGGAAGCTTTTTTTTTTTTCCTTTTTTTGGGTGAGCTGGAGCCACACGGGACGTGTGCCAAAGCAAACCAAGCCCTGGGCTCCCAGCAGCAGCGGCACGTCCCTGCTTGCAGGGCGGCAGAGAGGGGCAGCCCGCCCTTGCCTGGCCCAGCTCTGCTCCCCACACCACCCCACTCCAGCCCAGCTCTGTGCTGTGCCAGGAAATAAGCGAGCACCCCTGAGTCCAGGCACACGGACATCCCCGGGGCTGCAACTCCCCCCCCAGTCTCAAAGGCAGTGCCAGCCAGATTCAGCTGTTGGACGGCCAGATCTGTAGGATTTTACGCATGTTTTAACTACCCATCCAAGGCTGTGAGCTGTTTTTTTGTACTGCTCTCCAGCAAACAGAGGGGTTTTGCTGAATACACTCTTCTGGAGAAGCTGTAAATGGTGACACCTTGCTAGTGCACACTGGGACACCCACGAAGAGCAGACCTTCCCAGGGGGCTGGACATTACCAGCCTTCTCCTTTTACCTTGGTTTTGCAGACTCCTTTGCTTTTGGCTCCTGTGCTAAGATGAGATCAGCCACTGCCTACAGGCATGGTAAAAACTCTTATCTTTCAGGCTGTTTGGCATAACCTAGACACGAACCCTCCCTTTGAGAAGCATTTCCAAGCAGGACTTCAGCTGTGGTGTCCTTCAGCCCTGGGAGCTCACAAAAGGCATGTCTGTGCTTTGATTGAGGCACTAATTACTTCCACACTACAGCCTCCTGCATGCTGAGGTTTAGCATCTGTCAGGAGCACCCATTTTTGTTTTCAAATGGAGAACAAAAAAGCTGGGGCTGTTGGGGCTGCTGCTCTTGTGGCACACCATGGCTTTTGCAAAAGCCCTTCAACACCTGCCCAGTGACAAGCTCCTGTGCTGACCCAGCCCACTGCTGGTACATCTGGGTTGGCCACAAAAGGATTCTGGACATGGGTGCAATGCATGCCCCCTGCCCACACTTCCCTGTGTTGGCAGCAAGCTTTTCTCCTGGCATGCCCTGAGCCCACGTGCAGCCCACCTGTCGTTGTAGAAAGGCTTTTTTTTGTTTGGCTTCCCCCCCACACCAAAACCAGGGAACCTGCTACACCAAATACTTGCCTTAGCTGCAATTTTTTGAGTCCAGCCCCAGGGCTGAGGACCACCACTGTAAGAGAGGCAGGTCATCCCAGCTACCTTTTCCCCACATAGAGCTGTTTGCATTTCATGTTGTGTCTTTCCCAGCGGTACAGCAGCAAAGGAATGTTACGGGGAGGCCTGGTTTGGATTTGTCAAGCTAGTTTAAACAGATGGCAGTCAGACCCTTTCCCTGCCTCCCAGCTTAGCCATGCCTGTTCCCCTGCCTGCTTTCCCAGGACTGCTCCGCATAACCCCAACAAATGAGGAGGTGCAAGCTCCTGCTTTCCATGGTTTCCCTCACCCCTTTATTAAACCAAGTGTGTTACCAGCATGAGATAGGTTCTCCTGGAGGCACAGAATGTCCTGTATCTGTGCAACAGTGTAGGTAAAACCCAACACCTGTGGTTAGGTCTGCCTGGAAATCTCATTTTAGGCAGCAAGATGAGGCTAGTGCTGGGTTTCTGCAGGCAGGCCCTGTTGAGCTGTCTAAACACAGCTGCATGCAGGCCAGTGAGGAGGCATCTTAAAGCATCATCCAGAGTAAGGCAACTTCTCCAGCCGAGACTGCACACCCAAAAAGGAGCACACACAAACAGTGGTGGGAGCCCAAAGAAAGCCCTGCTCCCAGGCCCATCATGGGGACCATCAGCCCATCAAAGGCCTGGGGCTGAACAGGGGCAAAGTGGCAGGCAGGCACCCAGCTGAAGGACTCCTGAAGAATGAACACCCTGTTTGGGCCAGGGGCTGTTTGCAGAGCCATCAGCCTCTTTGTCCAGGAGCAAAATCCATCACCATAAGTCTTTATCTTGGGGACATCTCACAAATGTTTATAAACACCTGAAGAGAGGGTGCAAAGAGGATGGACCCAGGCTCTTACCAGTGGTACCCAGTGACAGGCCCAGAGACAATGAGCACAAACTGAATCACAGGAGGTGCTGTCTGAACATCAGAAAAGACTTACTCACTGTGAGGGTCACTGAGCTTGGCACAGTTTGCCCAGGACGATCATGAAGTCTCCATCCCTGGAAACAGTAAAAAAACACCTAGACAGTCTTGGGCAGCTGGCTCTAGGTAGCCTTGCTTCAGCAAGGGGGTTGAATCAAGAGACCTCCAGAGGTCACTTCAGCCTCAGTGATGCTGAGAGTCATAGAGTATGTCCTAGAGCTCTTTAGGCCACCCCCTGGGCTAAGGAGGATTGCTGTATAAGGGTGTGGCACACATTAGGGGATGCAGGGGAAGAACATTTTGGTATGTTCATGACTTGTTCAGGGTAGGAAGCAAAGCCGGAAGAAGAGGGAATTCAAGTGATGTGGAGAACAAGTGCAGCAAATACAAGGGCAAGGGGATGAAGAGGCCTTATAGTGTGTAAACAGCAAGCTCATTTATTCTTGTCTGGCCATGCTCTGCACCTGGTGAGCACAATCTCTTCTGTGTCCTTATTAAACTCCTAACTTTCCTGGGTGAGGGCTCTGTATTCTGTGTCCATGTGGACATGTGAGAGCTACAACTGGAGTCAGATGATGGGTCAGAGGAGCTGCATGTCCACGGTGAAGCAACTGAAAACAGGTATGTTACCACTAGTGAAGACCAACCCGGACTACCTGGAGAATTGGTAAAAAGGCCTGGGAGAAAAGGGATGTGTGGGGGCTTATAAGGGTCATCTCAGGGTTCCAAAGCATCTCGATGGGTCTTAGCAGAGGAAAATGCTATGGAATAAGGGAGTCCTGGCCAGCACGAAAAGTCCTTGGTGAGCAAGACTGGCTGTACTGCTACCTACAGAACTTTTGGTTAGATTTAATATAAGTATTAAGGCAGAAATAGGTCTTAAGGAAACTTAGTAAAATGAATCTGCCTTGCGGGAGTAGACTATTGTTTGCAGAAGATTACTGGGTTGAAGCTGTGTTCTGTGAAATCCTGTTTCTGGGAAAGCCATAGGGCCCCAGAACTGTTATTGAGAGTACCAACAGGTGTCAGCATTTACTCTCCTTCGATCTGCCCAATTCATAGGACAGAGGTAATGGTAAAATTTCTTGTGCCCAGCTGTGAAACTTGGCCCCTTCACTAAACAACATCCATATTCAGGAGAAAAGTATGTGGGTCCAGCTAAAGGTGACCAGAAAAACATCTCTCCAACAACCACAGAGGGGCACCAGAGACCATCAAAACTCTCCTGAAAAAGTTTTTAGCCATCTATTGTGCACACTCATAGTAAAAAATACATTGTGATCAGTTATGAATATGTACATTGTAGGTCTCTATAAGCCAAATGTTGTGAATAAGATGTCATGCATGACTTTGGAAGCTGTTCTGTATGTGTTCAGTGCTGCAATAAAGAATGCCTGCTTTCTAAAACTCCAAAATGAGGCTTTGGCCAGATTTTAAGGTATCAGTACCAGTAACTAGATTAGGGCTGCAGCCTCAGAGGCTCACATCCCCAGGTGCCAGCAACTAGAAAAGTGGCATCACTGAGTGCCCAGCCCAGCAGCTGGAGCAATCCACCATACGTGTGTGTGTCTGTGTGTGCACATGTATCCATACAGGCCACTGGCATTGTCTGTGTTTGCAGTAAGTGCTGTGTGTCTGTCTGTGATCTGTGTTTATGTATGTGGTGTGTATGTGTGCTCTGTGCCTGCTGGGAATACACTGCCAGCCTCACCAGTGGCTGGACCTGGCAGGATGGAGCTGCAGCAGCCTCACCTCCCTTTGGCTTTCAGACCAGGCACAATACACTTTCCTCTAACATTGGCCTTCTCCCTGAAGCTTTCATGTAGTTCACAGGATGCTTGTACCCACACGAGTGATTTCTCAGCTATCTGAGAATGACACAAAGGAGTAAACGTCTTTGAAAAGTTTTATTCTACACCCTCAGTTTCAGAAACCTTCACACAAGCTACAAAAACCAAATCAAAGCAGTGACTTGCAAAAATTTCCTCTTCAGGCAAAGAAGCAGACGTGCTTTTCATTAATTCACCTCTCCTGTGTACAAAAGCACGGTGCTGCACTCCCTTGTCTGCTGCAGGTGTTGAAGGACTGAACAGACCTGATTTTTGGTGGATGTTGTGAAATTACTATCAGCCACTAGGAGGGTCATGCCCCTGCTGGAGCATTCATGGCTCCTCCCCACTCCCTCCACCTCCTTCAAACTTTGGAAACACCATAAAGCCTCCAAGAACGGAGGGGTGATTTCTGACCTGCAGGAACATGTCAGCAAGAGACCTATCCTATGAGCAGCAATGTCAGCCTAAGGTCAGCAGGTGAGTTTCCAACCTGTATTTCAAGAGGGAACAGCCTCTCGCAGCTAGGTACTGGTCACCCAGCTCATTCAAAATGGCTGCAGTTCAGCAGTTGCATCAGGCCTGGAGTTCCCCTCTAGCCTGCTTTCAATAATGTGCCTGTCTGCCTTTAAAAAGGAGTCCAAGCTCTCCTGAATATCAATCAGCAACAAGGATCTCCAGAGGCTGTTGTGTCTTCTGCCTTGCTTGGATGATGAGAAGTGCTATCTCTTCCCTGTGGCTTTCAGATTTTCCACCAGTGAGGGAGGCTTTTTGGTCCTATAGGCAGCAGTGCCCGCGATCCGGGAGCCTCTGATGGCGCTGATGTAGGGCAGCAGGGGAGGCTCTCGCACCACCAGCGCGGTGCCCTGGGGAGTATAGGCTCGGAGCAGCAATTCCTCTTCTGCATGAGCTGTCACTGCCACCCAGCCTGCACGGCCAAAAAAACCCACCACAGTCAGCAAGACAAGTCACTAGAATCAGAACGAGGGTTCTGATACAAACTCAGTGCCTCCCATGTTGGCCAAGAACCTGAGCTATCCAAGTGCGGTATCTTTGGGAAACCAAGCTGAAAGGTTAACATCCAGCCTTTCCCAATAGGAGGCAGCACCTAAAGCCACACCTTACTCTCCCCAGACACAGTGATTTCCTAGTGAACTCAAGAGCAATGGTGAGAATTCCCAAAAATACAATAAAAAAGCTTTCCAATCTATGGCTCTTTCCCACTCACCTGCCTTTCCTGATACTGTGGAACTTGTATAGCAGCCAGAGTATAAAGTATTCCAGTGCTGCTGTCCTGCACAAGCATGGCTGTCAATCTCCATTCTTGGAGGTTGCCAAACCTCAGGTGGACAAAGACATAGCTGCCATGATTTTGTGTTGGTGACAGTCCTGCTCTGAGCAGGAAACACAGCTTCATCCCTTAACAGGCTTCTCTCCATAAATGTTCCTAAGACACAAACTGCAAAGCAAACTAGTGTAGAAATATTAAATTACCTGCAGAAGAAAGCTTAATATCTGCAACTGCCTCACTGGGACCAATTCCTTTCAGTGTAATGTCCTGAGGGACAAGCGGGGGGAACTCTTTCATTCGCTCTTCCCCACCCATGGGAACCTAAGAACAAAACAGGGAGAAAAAATTTAACAGTCAAGAGATGCTTCAGCACTCCTACCCTAAACTGGCAAGCAAGGCACAAGTGGGAATAAAGATATGAGACCATTGTTAGCCTGGCCTGAATACCCTACAGAAGTAATTTCAGGTTTGCTAAGAACAGAATCAGCATCAGATTCAGAGCAGCCCAGTGGGAGCTCAGAGGTGAGCAAGATGGCATGTCCACTGCAGGACTCAGCTGATGGCACAAGTCAACCACCCTGATGTGACAGCACTTGTTGTTCTCAATGTGCTCAGGAAGGGAGCTGCAAGTGCAAGGACAGGTCACTCTGTCTCCCATCAATTACAAGTGCTACACAGTATGTGGGAATAGCAAGGAAATAGACCACCAAAAGATGCAGGGATGTGCAGAGGAACCAGTGGGGAATGAACGAGAAAGGTATGTTTTTCAAACACAATTTGTTCTGAAACCCCAGTCCGAAGTTTGCCATGGAAAATATCCCCATTGCTGCTTGCACTTTAAGGCTGTTAAAGAAAAGCCAAGCATTGGAGAGCAGACCATGGCAAATCGTACCAGCCTGAATGCCAGAACAGAAGCTCTCCTGAAAATGCCTTATCTCACGTGCTCTCCTAACACAGCTGGAGCCATGTGGTCTGTGAAAGACTGCCCCACACTGCAGATCATCTACTCATCCACTGCAGAAGTCCCCAACTCCTCACATGTGCTGGTTTTCCCTGTCAACTGTACCCCAGACAGGGTGCTTCCCCAGGTGGAACAGCCTGTCCATCTGCAGCCAAGAGCCCACAACAGCAACTCCTCTTACCTTTAGTAACTCCTGACCAGCGTGCTTCTCATAGATGGCATCTGCCTTACTCAGTGTGGCAATGCGGACTGGCAACAGGTTAGAAGCCACGACAGAAAACCAGGCAGGTTTTTCTCCCTGAAACAAATAAAAAGAGGATGTTACTTATGATAACAGAAAACCAGCTCTGAATTTCTCCTGTTCTGTGTCTTTCCTGCATGCTTAAAACCTGTTTGACCGATGTACCCTATTTGTCTGAGGGGTCCTTGCCTCTGTCACTGCAGAGCAGCCAGGGTTATATAAACAGGGGAGCTGAACTTACAGGAGAGAAGCATCCATGACTTCACCATCCTGCCTCAAAGCACCCCCTATGCCACATCCCCTGCCTTCACATCTGCTCAACTCAGGCAAATCATCCAAGAGAGATCTTTGATCTCGTTTAATTTCCAAGAACAAATTTGGTCTGGTTATTCAGCATGAAAGGTGATCGACATCTGCTGGTGCTTCTTTTATCACTTGACATTGCTAACACACACCTCTCATTGAACCATACTTGGTTCCAAGCTGCTCCCAAGCTATGCAAAGAATAAATACGAAGCCATTTCAGCAGGCATTCACATAACCTTGGCATGCAAAGCAAAGAAGGTCAGAGAGCTGAGAGACCTCTACAAACACTCCTAGCAGCCTGAAATAAGGAAACCCAGGTGTGCCAAATCCTTCAAGTTCATCATGGTCTGAGCACAAGTGTCTTCCTTCAGGATGTCTGGAGTACATAGATACACAAGACCAATAGAGCAAAGCGCTGGGCCACAGCTCAGCTTGCTAGGAGCACCACTACATGGTGAACAGGCTTAGAGCACAAAGCCTGCCAGCCCTGCTGCACTGGACATGTCTCCGACCCTGAGCCTCTCCTCAGGAGATGGTGTGACACTTCTTTACCCTGACCTCAGGTTCCCCAGGTTGCCAACACCAGCCATGTTCTCCACAACTCCCAGAACAAAAATCATCCCTCATGACAGACAAAACAACCCCTTGGATAGCCCTGCAGATGCTTCATCTCCAAGCATTTCTGCAGAGGGTGTTTACTGCCAGCAAGGTGTCACCTCTATCACTGTCCTACTTTGCCAGGTATGCAAATCCAGGTGCTTTAAGTCCCTGATGACACTCAACCAACACACCCAGCTCTCTTCTGAGAGCTTTGCCCAAGACAGTATGAATAAAGGCAGCTATTTTTCTACTGGCTTTGCTCTCTTCACAAACAGCATTTTTTCTGAGTGAGGCACTACTCCTCTCTACTGCCAAGCTGTTTTTCAGGACGGTGCTCTGGATTTTCACTTTACTGATGATGGGAGTTCTCCTGCAATACTGGTACACTATTATTTACAAAATCCTGCCCAATCCACCTTCCTGGTTTTCTTCCAGGAAGCCAAGAGTGTCCTCATCAAAATAACAATTCAACGTTTCTATGGTGATCTTGAAAAGCTGATTGAAACAAACAAATAGCCATACACACATGCCCTTCTCAAAATGGGGCAAATTACTGAGAAAGGCATTATCATCAGTGCTACACACATACCTGGAAGAAACATCATGGGAGATCAGCTCCACACAGTTCAATAAAGGTATAAGGCATGGAATTTCTAATAAATGGATGGAATGGAAATAGGAGACAGTGCCTTTTAAAAATATTTTTACAGAACATGTACATTTAATTGCTTCCTTGGGCTAATACTTCAGAGAAATCTGTGCCAGGAAAGAAAAATTCCTGTGCTTTTCTCTCTTGGCAGACAACTTTCCTGAAATGAGGAAACCCACCTATTTTCCTAATTAATTCTGGCAGTCTCCTTCCTTCCTGCCTGCCTTGTGTCTTTATGTGTTACAAAAGGCACATGAAGCTGAAGGTGTTTGTCAGCATTCAAAAGCAGTTCCTGTCACACAACAAACATGCTGGTAACAAGTACCAAACCTTTTGACTGTAACTCCCCATCCTATTTTGACTTTATGGGGAGCTTTAACAGATCCAGCATCTCAAAAGCAACAAAAAAAAAAGGCACCCAGAAAGCCTTTTATCATCTGATACTGTAATAAGAGATGAAGCAGCTGCTCACAAAATCCTTTCTTTCCTTACCTGTAAGTAGTCTATACGTCCCAAGGCTGCTAAAAACAAGACCATTCCTGGCTTGAGAATGAAGGTTCGTGGAACAATGGCAACTGTTGGCAAAACCAGCTTCACTTCTTTCTCTGTCAGGAGATTTAAAACCTGCAAAATAAATACTGCTGCCATAACTAATTCTAGATATTTCATTGGCAACAATAAAATTAATATTGGCATGATACTGATAGAGGAAAAAGATAAAACAGTGCAGCATGATGAACATCTAATGGAACAGTTAAATTCTGGTGCTCTCCCTATGTTCACAAGCAGATAACCTTTAGGTTGCAAATCAGGTCAGCCTTCAACACTGATTCTAAAAGACAAGGAGGCTTTGCCCTGCTAGCTGCAGGCTTTCTGAGGTGTTTGGCAATGCTTAAACACAATCTGAGTTATCAGTAATCCTTCCCTAGGCTTTCCAGAAGTTTAGCCTTGGAAGGAGTCATGAAGAAGTAGCTAAAAACAAACCTTCAAGTAATAACAACAAATGTAATTCCATAATGTGCTAACAGCCACTTTCCTTCACTCTTCTTTCAAAATAATGATAAAAAAGAATAAACCTGCTCGTAACTAGAAATCTCCCCTACCAAAATCTGCCACAATAGACCACCTGCTTGTCCTCCAGTCAGATTGAACACTGACACAGGAACAAAATTCTATCTGAATCTTGGCATGTAGGTCTCCAAAGGTACAGCAAGGGTAATCAAAATCAGAAGTGGCAGCAAGTATTTTTGGATGCAGGAAAGCCCACTTGATCTCCACGCTAACCAACCTGCAGCTACAAATGCAGGTCTCTAAGCTGATGACTGTCTTTACACCAGCTATCAGAGAGCAATGTGTCACAGTAAAGTGGGTTACAGTCTGGCAAAAACATCTACTAGAAAGCCAGTAGTTTTCTAGCATTCATGAAAGCAGCATCTGCATTTGAACTGTGCAGTTCTCAGTACAGTTCTTGCACTTCATTCTCTGCAGAAATTTCCTATCTCCTTGTACTTTTTAATCTTCCCAAAATGATCACAGAATTGAGGGACCTCGAAAGATCATCCCAGTCCAACCCCTCTGCCAGAGCAGGATCACCCAGAGCACATCACACAGGAACATGTCCAGGCAGGTTTTGAATGTCTCCAGTGAAGGAGACTCCACAGCCTCTCTGGGCAGCCTGTTCCAGTGCTCTGTCAGTCTCGCAAGTTTTTCTGATGATGATGACCTGCAACTCTGCATACGTATCAAACTGATAAAAAATCAGAACATTGCTTTTTTGAATGTGTGCACTGCATCAGCACTGGCTTCAGAGTCACTGCTCTACTGAAACATTGAGGAAGGCCTGACATATAGGAGCTATTAATAGAACACTGTAGATTCTGTTAACTTCAGGTGAATGCTTTCTCAAACCTTTGGTTCAGTCACATAACACAGGTTATCCTCTGAAGCTCCACCTTTTTCAGTAGGCTGGTAGAGCTAAAAAAGTGCAAACTTCATTGGGTGATGCTGGTATGAACTTGCTTACAGCACTATCACCTGTTTCCCTTCACTTAGATGTTAAGAAAGTTTGATGACTCAGCCAATACAGTTCCTTTTCAAAGATCACAGTATGCACTATTCAGAAATGCAATGGTGTTAACACAATTAACTGTTCCCAAGTAAATACAAAACATATTTTATCATACGTCCCAAGGCTGCTAAAAACAAGACCATTCCTGGCTTGAGAATGAAGGTTCGTGGAACAATGGCAACTGTTGGCAAAACCAGCTTCACTTCTTTCTCTGTCAGGAGATTTAAAACCTGCAAAATAAATACTGCTGCCATAACTAATTCTAGATATTTCATTGGCAACAATAAAATTAATATTGGCATGATACTGATAGAGGAAAAAGATAAAACAGTGCAGCATGATGAACATCTAATGGAACAGTTAAATTCTGGTGCTCTCCCTATGTTCACAAGCAGATAACCTTTAGGTTGCAAATCAGGTCAGCCTTCAACACTGATTCTAAAAGACAAGGAGGCTTTGCCCTGCTAGCTGCAGGCTTTCTGAGGTGTTTGGCAATGCTTAAACACAATCTGAGTTATCAGTAATCCTTCCCTAGGCTTTCCAGAAGTTTAGCCTTGGAAGGAGTCATGAAGAAGTAGCTAAAAACAAACCTTCAAGTAATAACAACAAATGTAATTCCATAATGTGCTAACAGCCACTTTCCTTCACTCTTCTTTCAAAATAATGATAAAAAAGAATAAACCTGCTCGTAACTAGAAATCTCCCCTACCAAAATCTGCCACAATAGACCACCTGCTTGTCCTCCAGTCAGATTGAACACTGACACAGGAACAAAATTCTATCTGAATCTTGGCATGTAGGTCTCCAAAGGTACAGCAAGGGTAATCAAAATCAGAAGTGGCAGCAAGTATTTTTGGATGCAGGAAAGCCCACTTGATCTCCACGCTAACCAACCTGCAGCTACAAATGCAGGTCTCTAAGCTGATGACTGTCTTTACACCAGCTATCAGAGAGCAATGTGTCACAGTAAAGTGGGTTACAGTCTGGCAAAAACATCTACTAGAAAGCCAGTAGTTTTCTAGCATTCATGAAAGCAGCATCTGCATTTGAACTGTGCAGTTCTCAGTACAGTTCTTGCACTTCATTCTCTGCAGAAATTTCCTATCTCCTTGTACTTTTTAATCTTCCCAAAATGATCACAGAATTGAGGGACCTCGAAAGATCATCCCAGTCCAACCCCTCTGCCAGAGCAGGATCACCCAGAGCACATCACACAGGAACATGTCCAGGCAGGTTTTGAATGTCTCCAGTGAAGGAGACTCCACAGCCTCTCTGGGCAGCCTGTTCCAGTGCTCTGTCAGTCTCGCAAGTTTTTCTGATGATGATGACCTGCAACTCTGCATACGTATCAAACTGATAAAAAATCAGAACATTGCTTTTTTGAATGTGTGCACTGCATCAGCACTGGCTTCAGAGTCACTGCTCTACTGAAACATTGAGGAAGGCCTGACATATAGGAGCTATTAATAGAACACTGTAGATTCTGTTAACTTCAGGTGAATGCTTTCTCAAACCTTTGGTTCAGTCACATAACACAGGTTATCCTCTGAAGCTCCACCTTTTTCAGTAGGCTGGTAGAGCTAAAAAAGTGCAAACTTCATTGGGTGATGCTGGTATGAACTTGCTTACAGCACTATCACCTGTTTCCCTTCACTTAGATGTTAAGAAAGTTTGATGACTCAGCCAATACAGTTCCTTTTCAAAGATCACAGTATGCACTATTCAGAAATGCAATGGTGTTAACACAATTAACTGTTCCCAAGTAAATACAAAACATATTTTATCACAATTGCCTAAAACAAAAGAATCGTAGCCCCAGGACTGCAGCAGAAATACTCTCCCACATGCACAGCTAAGGCAGAACAGTCCTCCCAAATCCTGCCATCCCAAAACACAGCACCATGGAGTACCTACACAGTTTTCCCTTATAATGCCTGGAGTGTCAAAACACCAGCGAGCATCCTTCACTTCGTTGTGTGTGAACTCCTTCCTTTCCTCACGCTGCTCAGGAGAATGTTTGGGATCTTCATCGATGCTGTAGGAGAGCATGTCAGGGTCAAAGTCAACCACAGGGCTAGGCTTCTTCTGTTGAAATGTTCTGCCAACTCTTCCTGGATTAAAATTAAAGGTTTTCTGGTAATTAATTTATTAACTTGCTTTTCCTTCAATCAGGTTATCTGTCCCTTCCCTTGCATAAAGAAACGCACATTGGTAATATAAAGTGATAATGCTACGTGACTAGAAACGTGTCTATTTAAAAGCCACGATGCTAAGAAATGCCCTTCTACTATTCTTGCTTAGCACACCTCAATCCCTAAAACCTTAGCAGGGACCAGATCACAAGCCAGCTGCCTTCTTTTTTTAGTGCTTTAGACTGTCACACACAGAATTCTCTGAAAATCAGGGGTATCTTCTGGCAACTCCCTCTTTTAGATACATACTAAAATCAGGTGCAACTACTGTGCCCTGCAGCCAAAAAATTACTATTTAAAAAGGAAACTTTGTTTCTTCCTTTGGGAACCAGAGATGGCCTACAATGCACTATCAGGGTAAACTAGGTCTCAACTAGGTTAGCATACGCTGATGGGAGGTGCACTGCACAGAGGAAACCTTTGCAACAGCTGAAAAATAAGTACTTGAAATAAATACTAGTGATGCCACTTAGGAAAGGGCTGGAAGTCTTGCACCCATTACTGTGGGAACAAAAACTGGTCAAAATAACTTGAACATAAGTTTGGAATTATTTTTTTTAATGCTGCAACAGATAGCATGTGCTTCTTCCCATAATTCAATGGAAATTAGTTATTTCAGAGTGGGAAGAAAATTACTTGCTGAAACCAGCTGCAATCTACAGTACATTACAGGCTTGACAGTCCTGTGTGTAATGCCAGTGTTTTCATAAGGGCAGAGGAACAATACCTTTACTCAGGCAATACTCACCCACTAAATAACCTTGCTTTTTAAGGTGATTAAGGTACTTTTTTTCTTCACTGCTTAGCTGATCTTCTGTTTTTGTTGCTTCCTCTTTCAGTCTCTCCTGCCTTCGGAATATCCTATCACACGTAGGATTAATAATTGGAAATTTCAACAGGTTCAGTGTTGTTCCTACAAAAAACAGAAGCATATCTGGGCCTCTGACCATCTGGCACATTTAAGCTCTGAGGAACAAGAGAAGAAAATAAAATCACTTGCCCAACTTTTGGGTGAAACCCAGCAACACAAAGCTGAAGGCAGAACCATAGCTGCCCCCACAACGCACCAGGCTCCCTAGCCATGGAAGCGGAAGTGAGGCATCCACCCACTTGAGACCTGCTCCCATCTATAGTTTGCTAGAACAGGTCTCTAAGCCAAGTGGTGCCAAGACTAACTTAATACACCCTAGGCAAGTCCCACCACCAGGCAGCCTGGTTTAGACTATGATGGTTTTACAGGTGCTCACCAGCCCACCTCTGGGTCTCTCTCTGGACTGGAGGGCACCCCTCGCTGACAGGGAGATGGCGAGGCCTGCAGACGGGGTGCTGTCCCCTCTGGAAGGGGAGCATCCCGGCTGGCTCACCGGCCCCCTTGCTGCAAGGGACGCGCAGCACCTTCCGCGCACGGTGCCTCCCCCTTGACTATGATGGTTTTACAGGTGCTCACCAGCCCACCTCTGGGTCTCTCTCTGGACTGGAGGGCACCCCTCGCTGACAGGGAGATGGCGAGGCCTGCAGACGGGGTGCTGTCCCCTCTGGAAGGGGAGCATCCCGGCTGGCTCACCGGCCCCCTTGCTGCAAGGGACGCGCAGCACCTTCCGCGCACGGTGCCTCCCCCTTGGTTGCCCTGAGGCGGAGGGCAACGATTTGAAGAGCAACACAGCCCTGGAGCTCGCTGCCCACGATGGCCAGGCTGCGTGGT